GGCCACCTTGTTCCAGTAAAGCCCGGTCTGGTCATCTCTCTGTGCATGTTGGAAAGGAAGAGTAGTTTTCTTTCCCCCATAACACAGAATCACAGAATGGTTTGGGTTGGAAGGGACCTTAAAGACCATCCAGTTCCAACCCCCCTGCCATGGGCAGGGACACTCCACTAGACCAAGTCGCTCAAAGTCTCATCCAGCCTGGCCTCAAAGACAGCCAAGGATGGGGCATCCACAACTTCTCTGGGCAACATGAAGACCAACAAAAACCTTAAGGACAGGAACACAAAGAAGGTGGCTACATGCTATGTTCATCTTGTGTCTGAAAGCCCACGGATAGAAATTGCCATGAGGGAGCAGCCAAAGGCCACGGAAGGACTAATGGCAGCAGTCCTGGACATTTTTACCACTGCAAATTTAAGTATATAATCTGGGTGTGGAGCAGAAGTCTAATTCGGTAAGTTACAATAACAGCTGTAGTTTAGTGGGTTTTCTGACACATTAATGAGAAGGGCTGAGAATGTTCAGGATCTGGTCTGTGTTCTATCACGATGTGTTTAAAATCATTCCAGTAATATTTAGATTAGTATCTCCTGCATTAATAATAAAGGCTTTTAGACAGAAAATAGAATGCTTAAAAATGCTGGGCGAACGGCCAGTTTGTATCATCATTCAGATGAGAACAGATTAGCTCAAGAGTTGCTGGTAGATGAGTCCTAAGTATTTTTTCTATCCCTATTGGAATGGAGACTTTGGGAAAACAAACCTTGGTTCAGGTCTCCCTGAGCAGACCTCTGCATACAGTTTCTTGGGTGAAAATCTGGACTCTTGAAGTTAAATCTTGAGGTGAGTAGGACCTGAGTTTCACGCCCTCTGCATTAAACATCCTTCCATGATGAAAGTTGCTTGGGAGAAGGTGAATGATGTAATCTGTTACACACCTGAACTAACACAGTCTGGGGAGTAGGGATGCACTGGCACAAACTTGGCATAAGCACAGCATCAAAGCCCTCTGCATTTCTGGGGTGATACATCAACGTCAGATCAGTCTCAAATGAAATCTTGGGCATGGGGGGTAATGCACACAGAAATAGCTTCTATATTGTGGACATCTGTCATAAATTTCAGTGTCTCAATATTATTTCAGATTATGTTTGGAATGCCATAATTTCACAGATTTTAGAGAACTTGTATCTTCTGATGAGTCCTGGCCACAAACGTAGCCAAAAGTATGTGAAAAACATCTGCTATCTAAAGATGCTGGGTTTTTTTCATCTGACGTATTTTACCACCTTTCTCTAAAAATGGTCCCAGCTATCTCATCAGAAAATCAATCAATCAATAAATGAAATTCCAACCAAACATTAGAAAAAAACTATGTTCAAGCCCAATTTTATCAAATATCTATAGATCAGAGATGCATTCTGAGGGGAAGGGGTGAAAGGATAATTGATGTAACTGGTGATGGTGCCAGGGAAGGCAATTTGAATCCTGAACCTGGGCTCCCACTGCTCTCTTGGATTCTGTGGCAGCCGTGGTCGCCAGGAAAGCTTTAGTGCTCTTGGAGTGGCCTGGTCAGGCTGTAGCGAAGCAGCTGAAGAGCTCCAGGAGCACCCTGATCACCCTGTGTTAACAGAGGTGTGTGTGGAAGGGCTTCTACATCCATCGGGGATGGTCTCCACTTGCATACCTTCGCTTCCTATCGCTCCCCTTCCGTTTTGGTTTCTGCTGCTCCTCCTTTCTGTCCTTCTGCAATGTGGGCTGGGTGGGAGCGCAAGTAAAATGAACGGTGGGTATCTGTGGCAGTTCTGAGAAGTTTGGGCAATTCCATGCTCAGAGGGTTGTACCTCCAGAAGACATTTTTTTATCAGTGCAATTCCTGGGTAATCCTGGAAGTTGTAGACCCTTCCTCACCAGGTGACAGAAAGCATTGGCAGTGCATCTCCCTGTGTAACTGCTTGTGGCAGAAAAAGCACATTTACAGATTAGATCTCTTGCACAAAGAGCTCCATAGTTACATCTCCACTCATGCCTAATGTTGTCTGCAGTAGTGATAGAGTATCAGGAGACCGCTCTTGACTCACTTTTTATTTATTCAGATAGACCCCTCCAGGATGGATATCAGAACTAATTGCTGCTTGGGTTTTAAATATAAAAAAGAAATTCTACTTCCCCTTCCCATGCCAGTATATTTTTCCCCAGAAAAAGAAGAAGAATGGAAAGGAAATAAATGTGGAAAAAGATTTGTTGTCAGTTTCAATTTTAAGTTGATTTCCTTTATTTTGGTGAAAAAATTTAAAAACATGTCTTAAAAGAACTGATAGAAATATTTTCTCTCAATGACGTTTAAAAATTATTAAAACTTACATTCTAATAAAGCATTTTGGTGGCGATCAGAACACTAGACTAACCACGTATCCCCATTTTACTGCTAATTCCCTATGCCTGTGACAATCCAAACCCATTCTCTGCATCTGATCTCTCCTGATTCTGCATCCGTTTCTCATTTTGTCTTTTACTGTTTGTTTTAAAACCTGTTTCAAAGTGCAGAACTTCAGGGGCTGCACACAGAAACTTGCAACATCATGGCATTTTGGTACACCCTTGTTGTTTGGAAAGGTTTTCTGTTTGTAATATGACCTTAAAAAATTGTATTAGAGTAGGTTGACCAAATTGCTGGAACTAATTTGAGAATTCTGGTAGGCTCCAAGTGCATATGTAAAGCCTTACGCTGTTACTCAGTAGGATATGTAATGTGTTGCTTACTGGCACAGGTATTTCCAGTGCATTCGAAGTAACTGAGCAGAGATAAGCTCTCTCTTCATGATATATAACGTGTTCCTTGAATTTGCTATGGAAGAGTGTAATTTCAAAAGTCAGTACATTATTCTAGACATCGCTCTGTTCTTCTCCAGATGTCTTTTTTAAGTTATGCCCAACACTTTCCACACACCTAGTTTCACTTGCACGCTTTCCCTCCCTTGTCAATTAAAGCTTATGCAAAGGCATGCTGTGTGAGTCATGTTTCCGCAGGAACGGAGAAGGCGGAAGCAAGTTTTGGGACCAGGTAACCCAGAGCTTTTATCGCAGCTGCCTTCTGAAGAGTTTTCACAGTCCATTAAACATACTCTTGTTTTTATCCTAGGAACTTTTCATCGCATTGCTGGCAAATCGGTGCCCTGAAGTATTTTCACCTTGCTGTGCTACAGATGACAAGAGCAGAGCATAGCATACTCTCCATTCTTCCCCTCAGAACAGGCCTAAGACTCTGGCAGGGCATGCTTTAGGGCACACACCCATCCTAAGCAAAACCTTTTGGAAAGAAGTAATCAGCTGTTGGCTACACAAAACAAAGCTCCAGGCTCTGTTCAACTCCTGACCTGCAGTTTTTTTATTAATCTCCAAGTTAAAAGCTGTGGAAATTCAGCTACCTTGCTGATCCCAATGTCGAACACCTTGCGGAGTGAAGGAGGCTGATTTCCACTTTTGTAAAAGTGGGGAAAGAGCTTTACAGCCTAGTCACATACAGCTTTATCATATCATTTAGCATCTTTCATCTTGCAAGTAGATATTTTCTCTTTTCGTGGGGTCACCCGATTGCATTGCCAAATATCTTTCCTTTTTGTAAGCTCAGTATTTCTACCAGTTAAAACCAGCTAGTTTGATGTCTAAGATTTCTACCCAGGCCCTTGTTTATCCATGTTGGATTGCAGTGCCCTATGCTCATATGATATACTTACCACCCCATAAGAACAGACGTGTCATCGATACTGCATCACTTTATGGGTTGAACATTCCAATTTGTCTCATATAATTCTAATTGGAGACCTTGTAGGAGCTTTCCAAGGCTTGAAGGGGCTTACAGGAAAGCTGGAAGGGGGCTTTTTACAAGGGCCTGTAGTGACAGGACAAGGGGTAATGGCTTGAAACTGAAGGCGGGGAGATTTACATTAGATATCAGGAAGAATTTATTCATGGAGAAGGTGATGAGGCACTGGATCAGTTTGCCAGAGAAGCTGTGGATGTCCCCTTCCTGGAAGTGTCCAAGGCCAGGCTGGATGAGGCTTGGAGCAACCTGGTCTAGTGGAAGGTGTCCCTGCCCATGGCAGGGGGGTTGGAACTGGATGGTCTTTAAGGTCCCTTCCAACCCAAACCATGGTATGATTCTATGAAAATAATGTGTTAATCTGAATGCAGGCTATTCAAGTAGTCTCTCTCAGCTTGTTCTTTATTCCAGAAAAACTTGGAATATATAGTGTCACTTACCTAAGATTTCTCCAAATCCCAGTCCAAAGCAGCCATGGTAGAATATGGTGACTCTAAGCTAGTTTCTTACCTTTCTGGTCTTAGTGAAGTGAAGAAGAATAGTCTTACTTACAGATTTCCTTCTCCAGATGTGAAACTCTTGAACTGTGAGCTTGATTTAGGAACATATACCTGTAAGATTCTTATCATCTTAGGTCTTGAATTACTATGTTGGTTAATAATTAATTGTAATAATTCCACTTGACAAGCTGGGAGATCAGAAGTGCATTTATTTTTCTTTGTAAAATACCTAGAATCCTGAAACATCTTGACATAAAAATGGCAAAGCTAGGGACCCTTCAAGCATTTGAAACAAATGGGGTATTTCTAAAGAAAAGGATTTTAAGTGCACAATTTCCTTCCTAGGAGTACAATTGAAAGCATAGCTCTATTCCATTCCTCAGGGCTGCAAGGTACCAGGCTTGGCCGAAGGCTTTCTGCAGGCATCAGGTGATACAGTTTAATTAGTCAGGGAACTGATCCCCAAAGTGCTGAGCAACTTCAGCTGCTCTACTCTAAATGGTGGTCATTTGCTGCAGATTTTTAAGGAGTGTCAGGTGACTTCTGAAGGTTCTTTCTGTGTGCGTTGGATGCAGAGCATCCGCACCTCTGGATGCATCAGGGAGTCTTAAAAAGTAAGTCTGGAGTAGCTGCTATCAATCACTGCCAGCTTGCGGTACTGACTTATGTAACTTTGATGTCACTGCTCAAAGACATAGCACAGCTTTCTTCCCTGGAGTATTACCAAACGTTTTCAAATTCAGTGGAGGATGAAATCTTTAAGTACGAACACTGATTCCTTTCCTCTTGCTTCCTTTGTTGTTTGCTTGAACCTGTTGAGATTCGTTTCTCTTGCCGTGCTTTAAAACGACTGGAGCTGTGCTAAACTTGGCTCTGATGTGCAGCAGCTACAGCCTCTGATTTTCTTTTCGCCTGCCTTTCCTTCCACTTGCTTGGCTCAAGCACGTGCTGTTGTTTTCCAAATCAGTGGTGGTGGAATGCCCACTGCCTGGCACCATGCACCCTGTGGCAAAGGGGGCTTTGCAAGGCTGCCCTGCCAATGCATGCATTACAGGGCTGGCTACAGAAAGCTGTGAGGAGGAGCAGCCAAGTGAATCTTGCATACCATGTGCAAGACGAGATAGATCTGTACTGACTTGTCAGGGGATGTTGTTGTCTCATTTTCTTATCCCTTTTATATTGTGTTTATTTTTAAAATGGACAATGTTCTGGTGGAAGGTGCTGCAGACATTTATATTGGCAGTGTAAGATATGTTCCTTCCAGCTTTCAAAACTCTCTGGTTATGGGACATAACGCTTTTTGCTTTGAGGATACTGGTTTAAATCCATTTCATAGTCAGTAGTCAGTGAAATTCGTCAGTCCCTCAACTTCTCTCACTGATTTGTGTAAAACAAGCTGAAAGTGTCAGCTCAGTTCTCACCGCATGTATTTCCACATCACAAAAAATAATTCGTTTAACAATCGTAACTGGTGCAATAAAAAAGCAGGAGGCTGTACTTGGGATGCAGCAGAATCAAGACCAGGCATATAAGAGTGGAAGCACAAGCCCCAGCATTTGAATACCACAATCTGAATGTAAAGACTTCAAGTTCTAAAAAGGGGGGAATAACATCAGAATGAAATAATCTACTAGTTGAGCACTTGTGGTGTGACTTCAAATGCTTAAAATACATTTTTAACAATCACAGACTAGATAAAAAGGACAGTGAAGGATAGAAAGCATTCATTTGAGGTTAGAGGAGAAATTGAGGGAAGCCACATGCGCTCACTCAGGAGTAAGCAAAGTGTTAAAATGTCATTTAAGAATTACACATGGTCTGCTGTCAGTGTGTACTCTTAAACTGAATGGTGGAGCTCTAGTGCCATTTCAGAGTCTACATTTCTGTTTACTTGATAGAGTCTGGGTGTCACTTTATAATCTGAATATGTGACGGTCTGCTGTCAGTGCGTACTCCCAGACTGAATGATGGAGACTCTGAATTTCAGAGTCTGCATTTCTGTTTACTTGGAAGCGTCTGGCTGTCACTTTATAATCTGAATATGTGATTTAACTGGAGGTGTATCTGATCCACCAGTGGGTTGGAGCTTATTCCAGAGCTTTGTGGCCTGTGCCCCTTTTCTACTTCTTGTTCTTTGTGGTCTTCTTTTGCAGTGGGAGGTATTTACACTGTGATCCAGACAAAAGCCAAAATCACGGCAGATGAATGGGGTGAAAACTATTTTCTGGTCGGTCCCTATTTTGAGCACAATGTGAAGACTCAGGTGGAAGCATGTGAGCCTCCAAACCCCGCAGTTAAGAAGGCAATGGACACCATGAAAAGCCAAGGGTGTCAGGTAAATAAGACGTGCTACTGCTTCCCAGGGCAACAAAGCTGACTCTGAGGAGATTACAGTTTTGGCTAATGCTCTTGCTGTTCCACTTGACACAGCAGTCCTGGTCAATGTCACAATGGGAAAGGCTCAGAATCCACTGTTAGAACAGCAGAGTCAATTCATTAAAGGTTATTTTTGAGGAAGAACTAGTTTATCCAATTACAGGTTTTAACAGTCATTTATCTGCAAGTCTACTTAATTGGATTAATGACTTATTTATCCAGTCTCTAAATACAGTGAGATTTTAGTAGATATAATATGACCTTACTTTGGCTGAACCCTTAAGTTACATTTGGGGTTCTTGTGCTGGAGAGAGAAAAGCATTCCACTAGCTCACAATTTTTCTTATGTACGTTATATTAAGTTTAAAGGCAGAAAGGGACAAACCACAGGTGGACTTAAGAAAAGCACTCAACTGACAAAGAATCTGTTTCCTCAGATCAATGCAACTAGCTGTCTGTTCCCTAGGAAGAGAGGTTAAACCACAGCTCAAGGAGTGAGTTCATCTGTGTTGCCTACAGAGTTTTTAACCAGTGTTTTCTGTGTGATCTCAGTCAAACCTCATATCCTCTCTGTGACTCAGTTTCTCCAACAATAAACTAGGACTAAACTCCTTCCTATAACGGTGATCTGCCAAAAGGAATAGAATCTGCTGTATCAATGGGCAAGATACCAAGCTGAAGAACCTGCAGTCTTGAGGACAATTGATTACCTGAAGATGGGTGGAAGATAACATGTGCTAAATCTGAGTTCCTTCCTCAAAAGTCCTCACCTGAGATCTAGGAGTCGCCTTCACTGTGGTTCATCACTGAGTCCCTCAGAGGTGCTAGTTGGCAGGAGGAAAAATTGTGGGCTTATAAGGTGTGTCAAACTGGTGTGAAAAGCGTTGAGAGGCAGCAGCAAGGAAGCATTCTTATAAGCTTCTGTCACCAAGGGGCACAACACACTTTAATGTAGAAACACATAAACTTCTCAGACTGCCACCAGCTGTGGCACTGACAAAGTCTTACCTCCCCATGTGACAGCACTTCTGCTGCTATTAGGATCTAATGTCCTATTGCATGTTATGTAGAAGTGTATTGGTGGGTGTGTGTGCCACAGCTTGGGAAAATGTCTGTTGGGGACAGTAATGTCGTGTGATACTTGCATTCTTCAGGCTGAGGTTCAGACTAAAAGGTCTAATCTGACAATCATTTCTTATTTCTAATCAGACATTAATTGATTTAAATGATTGATCAAATTTTCCATATTGCCTCTGTTGCTTATAAAGAGATGTCTCTGCAAGCTGTGTAACACTCCTTTGTTTGGAAAACAGCTAAAGATGTGGGGGGCAGATTAATGGCAATGCTGTACCTACACACTTCATGCTGTTCCAGCACTACGTTCAATTTAATCAGCCAACTCTGTCAGCCTAACATGTGCGTTGTGCTGCCAGAGTATTCATATATAGCAGCAAATCTGTCCCAGGTACGTCAAGTATAGCTTTGATCTCCAATAATGACGCTCTAGTTTCCAGGAGCTGTGCTTATCCTATTAACATTTATGTCTGGATTTTGCTTATGCATCACAATGGATCCCTTTAAACCAGGGGACCGTGGAACAATTCCAAACTTCTCACGTCAGGTGTGTTCCTTGCCACAACCTGACTCCATATTTAAGTGAAGTCTGGGTTCACAAAAACTTCCTGCTCTTTAACCTCATTTTCCTGAATAAGAAACCTGGATAACCTGAAATAAGTACATTAGGAGATGACCATCCTTCACGTGCCTTTGTTACACCCTGTATTTTTTGTGCAGAGAGGTCTAAGAGCTTTCATCCCATCGTTTTCAAGACTTGAAAGATAGTTCCAAGATGTTCTAGCATCAGAACCCCTGTGGTGCCAAGGGTTGGTGAATGAAAATAGATTGAACAGTGGTATAAAAGATTCTCCCACATGGGGTATAAACTGCACTAGCATCCCTATAGTACCTCATTCTTCCCAGTTAATACGTCTCTGCTGCTATAGCCATTGTGATGGTAAGATTAAGGTGAAATAATCTGGCTGTCCAGGCCCCTACAATCTGTAGTGTGGGCCCAGCAGTGTTGTGTTGCCTAATGACAATTCAACCTAATCTCCTGGTTGGGCAGGTAGGTTTTATCAGTGGAGTTCTAAATACTCCTAGAGATGTTTAATAAATCGATGAAACAAAAAGGAGGAAAGCTGTATTTTTAGGCTAATGTGGTTTTAGGTATAACTATGCTTTCTGATTGATCCTCTTACTCTGGCAAAGGGCATCAACTGTGCTGCCTGGGGAGAATGAAGAAATGTCACGGTAGATATGGGTCCCAAGCACCTGTCCTACAAAATCTATCACCGTTAATCTAGCATAAATGGCAAAAGATTTGGTGACAAATCTGACTGAAAGAAAATAGTAATTTTGAAATAAGAACAAAATCGGCACAGGTACTTCAATAAGAACGTAAGACCTCCTTATTCAAACAACTATAGTTTTCCTAAGCTTGGTTTCATGAAAAAAACACATTGCAATGAAAATCTAAAATGAAAGTCTTAAAAACAAAATGTTCTTAAAGATTGTAATTTCCTTCTACCCCTGCATTTGGTCCGGTATTGTTCTGTGTATTTTGTA